TGTGGTGAACACGTTTAATCACCACATAGTAACACATGTATACTCTTGTATTAATTGGAGGTGCGTAGCATGCACAACCTATATATATATCTCTGGTAATGAGTTGGTGTCTCTAAAGACAGGATCAATCATTGAGTAGGACATTAGATATTCTAGACATTACCCCTAGCTGAGTTTTATCTATTTCTATTTTTATGTTATTTTATTTTGGTTTATTTGATTATAAGCCATTTTATTCAATTTACCATTCTATAATTATAAGCTATCTATTTATTTCTTTGTGTATGGAAATGATATGTCACTCATATGTATATATTTGAATATGTCTAATGGTATACAAATTATTTTGCACCTGGACCATCTATATTTGCCATATATTAATGCCAATTTAACCTTTACCTTAAACTGGTGAAGAATTATTAATTAAGAGATGCATCTTGATCTGGCATAATAATGGCGTCTCTAGATACAAATATACTGACCAATAGCGGTGGAGAACTATTCTCTGACAGACCGTCAATTACTTGCATGTAATGAGGTTCGGATTATTGTCAATGTCTGTAACCTGGGCACTCGGAGCGCTTTTTTCATAATATGGGTCCATTCACATCACCCCCTTATTGTGTCACCTTAACTATGGTGAACTAATCAATGAGGCACCGTTGCCGTTTTATTGGGATACAAACTAAAAGATCTTGCTGGTCTACTCCCCTGGGTACTCTGAGCCATATGCTTTAGGCTCAATTGCGCTGTATATGCGTCCTGTCAGCATGGCTAGTTATCCCACTGCTGACAGTTCTATATATCTATGGCAAAATGGCGCTTCGATGTGCGCGCATGCGCAGTGGTATGGTCCTCCGGAAAATGGCGGCGATCTATTGCGCATGCGCGAATCCCGCATTCTCTCTACATATTCATTTGGCGTCGGTCACAGAGCTGTCAGCATCCCCTCTGAAGATGTGCCTTAGCACGAAAGGCCTCAGGAGGAACTGACAGCCTGTGACGCCTCTTTATCACCCAGACCACGAGGAGGTCTGGGTGCTTGCTCTTAAAGGGTCAGTAACTTACTTCTTCACTTTTGTATATGTGTTTATATGGCACATTGCCAGTGACATTACTGACCTAGCTTTTAATCACTTCTATCAATAAATATTTGACATACTACACCATGAGTATTTTCCCACTTCTTAAACCCCACTGAGGGGTAGGCAGATACATATCATCCAGAGGAGGAACACCTGTACCTGGAAGGAACATGTGCCTGTGATTGATCCATCAGCCCAGCAGATCGATTGAGGACATCTCTCTCTGTGGGATATCTACATTCGTTTTGATTGGATACACGTATACGCGCATTTCCTATGTGCGGTCGGTGAGTGCGCATTCTTGCCATTTCCCGGACCAGATTTCCAGCTGTGTTCACATATTGCCTATTTTGATCATATGAACATTTAAACGTGTGTCTTTAGATCGATCCTTGGTCGAACTTTTGAGGTCGAACTTTTTAAACCTGTTTTAAAGCGCTGCACTTTGTTTATTTGGGTTACCAGGTTTGCACACATCTCAAGAGGTATTTTGATCCACTCTTCTTTACAGATCTTCTTTAAATCCTTAAGGTTTCTTGAATGTTGCTTGGTAACTCAGTTTCAGCTCCTTCCATACATTTTCTATAGGATTAAGCTCTGGAGACTGCCTAGGGCGCTCCATGACCTTATTGTACTTATTCTTGAGCCACTCCTTTGTTGCCTTGGTGGTATGTTTTGGGTCATTGTCATGCTGGAAGACCCATCCACAACCCATCTTCAGTTTTCTGGCTGAAGAAAGAAGGTTCTCATCCAAGATTTTACAATACATGGCCCCGTCCTTTGGCCCCTCAATGCGGCAAAGTCGCCCTAAACCTTTAGCAGAGAAATAGCCCCAAAGCATAAGTTTTCCACTTCCATGCTTGGCTGTAGGGATGGTGTTCTTAGGGTCATAGTCAGCATTTTTCTTCATCCAAACATGGCGAGTTGAGTTAATGCCAAAGAGCTAAATTTTGGTCCCATCAGACAATAGCACTTCCTCTCAATCTATCTCTGAATCATTTAGATGTTCATTGGCAAACTTCAGACGGGCCTGTGCGTGTGCCTTCTTGAGGAGGGGGGACCTTGTGGAAGCTGCAGGATTTCATTCCATGGTGGCGTGTTGTGTTCTGTTCCATGTAGTTCTGGGCTGATCCCTCACTTTTCTCATGATCATCCTTACCCCATGAGGTGAAATCTTGCATGGAGCTCCAGACCGAGGGCGATTGATGATTATTTTATATTTCTTCCATTTGCAAATAAGCTCTTCAACAGTTGTCTTCTTCTCACCAAGCTTCTTGCTGATGGTCTTGTAGTCCATTCCAACCTTGTGCAGGTCTACAATCTTGTCCCTGACGCCCTTTGACAGCTCTTTGGTCTTGCCCATGGTGAAGCCCAAGAAAGAGATTCTGTGGACAGGTGTCTTTTATACACATAATGAGTTGTTGTTATGAGCACCTTCTTAAATTGACAGGCCTAATCTGTGTACCACATGAGCACATAGTCAGTCTGTGGGAGTCAGAATCATTGTTGGTTGGTAAGGGATCAAATACATATTTTACTCACTGAATTGCAACACGTTTGTATTGTGTGTTTTTTATGAATTTCTGGTTGGTATTCTGTCTCTATCATTTAAAATACACCTATGATAAAACATGTAGACCTTTGCAGCTTTTGTAAGTTTGCTCACTGAAAAGAATTTAGAGGATCAAATAATTATTTTCCCCACTGAATGTCAGCAGGCAGCAAACTTCATCTTCTCTAAAATACACTAAAACATTTATTACTGAAAGGACATTACACTCTGTCTCCCAATAATCTCTTCTTTAAAGCATCACTAAGCTTAATCAACAGAGCAGCCAAATTTATCCTTACCTTGATACTGACTAGTACATCATGACCACTGTTACCTTCCAGTGAATTACTAGACTTTACACACTTTTTGTTACATAATTAGAAAATATATATTATTAAAGATCCTCTACACCAGGGTTGTCCAACTTGCGACCCACGGGCCGCATTCTGCCCAAGATAGCTATGATTGCGGCTCAACACAAAATTGTAAACTTATTTTAAAAATGTTGATTTAAAAAACAAAAATTCTGAATATGCATTTATGCAAACACATGCGGTTGGAGAAACATTTGACAGTGTCTGTTTACTGGACTTTATAAGTGTTTTTTTTTTTTTTTTTATCTTCCCAAAGAAAAATCTCCCATTATTCACAATCACGCCTTATTTATGTCATCAGTTTTCAGCAGCACCTATATTTGTGAGCAACTATTTTCAAGGATGAAGCACACAAAGGGCAAAATTAGAACCAAAATATCTGATGAGCACCTTGAGAATTCATTGAGAATTGCTGCTACATCCATCAAACCAGATATTGACACAATTTATCAAAAACTGTCAAATATCACACTAGTTTATGTTGCCCTTTTATACCTTTTTAGAATAAAAAATATTGCGTTTTTTTTTTACTCACAGGTACACTATCGATATCAGTGACCATTAATGTGTGAACTGTCCTACATTTTCTGCTCATCAGCTATCCTTATTGTTAGTGTATTCAGTCATCAGCCACCAGGGCTGATGTAAGATCCCCCTGGTGGCTGATGACTGAATACCTGGAGATGGGCTATCCCCCTTGGACGCATATTACCTGGATGCTGCTGGCCTGATGACCTTTTCATGTTGCAGTGCTCCAGATCCAGATGACCAGGAGTAGGTCTTATTTACTCCAAAAGATTGCGCTATCTGGTTAGTGCAATCAACATTTATTCTCTAAGCCACAGAAGTCACGGATTGTTTCACCATTTCTCTACCACCGGATAGATTGACTTTGTCACCAATGTCACTATATGCACCTTTTTCCTGTGATATACCATATTGACTCACATCATTGGTTTCAGTGCCAAATAACTTTGCTCATTTGCACACGTTTATTATGTACGCTTTAATATTCATTTTGTATCATCAATTCTTTTAGCGCTACATATTTTGTCTATATAGACTATTCACTTTGCAAGGAAAGTTTCTGTAGATCTTAGTGAATGAGTCGAAGCTCTGTTGACATCCATCAGCCAAACATGCAGCAAAAACTTTTTTTATTTTTTTTTTTTTTATTTTCCTTGAACATGATTTAGGTATTTTTTGCAAAGTGGATTTTCACCACACTCACTAAGCTCTGAGGAAACTTCCCATGAACAGCCTATTTGCCTTTAGTAAATCAACTCCACTGCTTAAAACACTTTGTATTTTAATCCTTGGGTTAGTCTGAGAAGCCAAAAATTCAACTTCTCCATGGGCACTTCTTTCGGATAGCAATTGGTACACTACTGCAGGAAAAACAATTGAAATATATGGTTCAGGCTCAGTGGAATTGGTTTAGCTGTGATGAATTTACTGTTCAGAAGAGCTAGACAAGATTTATCTATCTTTGAGTGGCAGTCATCTCTCAGAAAGCTAGCTATAGGGTACACAAATATAAGACTGCTGTGTTTTCTAGAAAGCAGCTAAATTTTACTCTGGTCTTGGCCAGGCCTGTATGTAGCATAATAGTACTTATGGGCCAGTGCCTAGGCCAGGAGGACAAAGGGCAGCACTAAGTTTCCATTCAAACTATAACCTTTTCCCTATTTTGTTTTCCTACTCTATCTATAGTCATTTATGGCATGATTAAGCAAGAGAACTGTAGGATTAACTAGATGCCTGGGATTTTGAGAGCCATTGCAATGCTCTATACAGTTCAGGAAGTGTGAAATTCTCTATCCTTCTCCTTGTTTAGTGAACTATACAGTTAAAAAGTAGTTTTTACAAATGATTATCAATCCGTTGTGCCTACAGTTCTAAACATACCCCTGGTCTTGATACAGCTTGACCTTCTGTGCCAATACTCAACTTTTATACTAAGTAAATCCTGTGTTTGTAATTCCACAGACAGCACTCAAAACCCCAGTCTGGATCAAGAAGGAGTCGTGGCATCCAGTATAGAATCCAGTTCATTGCAATCCCCTGAGGTTCAGGCAGACCAAAAACAGAAACCTGTTAAAGAGTCCCCAGGAGGTGAGCCATTGGTGGGTGCCTTAACACTTCCTCTGGAAAGAGATCCTGACAGCAGTACAAATCAAGGTAATCTGTTCTCTCAATATCATATTATGGCAATTTCGCTTATGGATAGTGATCCTATGAAGCCATTTGTTATCACAAAGTTGTTTGGTTTCTTTATAAGTCACAATAACAGAAATCACCCAAATGGTCCTGATCAAAAGTTTACATACTCTGGAATATTTGGCCTTGGTACAGATACACAAGGTGACACACACTGGTTAAAATGGCAGTTAAGGGTTAATTTCCCACATCTGTGGCTTTTTAAATTGCATTCAGTGTCTGTGTATAAATAGTCAATGAGTTTGTTAGCTCTCACATGAATGCACTGAGCAGGCTAGATACTGATCCATGGGGAGCAGAGAACAACTGTCAAAAGACTAGCGTAACAAGATATTGGAAGTTTATAAAGATGGAAAATGATATAAAAAAATATCAAAGCCTTGAATATGCCAGTCAGTACTGTTCAATCAATTATTAAGAAGTGAAAAATTTGGGGATCTCTTGATACCAAGCCATGGTCAGGTAGACCAAGAGACTGCAGCCTCAACTGCCAGAAGAATTGTTTGGGATACAAAGAAAAACCCACAGCTCAGGAGAAATACAGGCTGCTTTAGAAAAATAAAGTATGGTTGTTTCAAGGAGCACAGTACGACAATACTTGAACAAAAATGAGCTGCATGGTTGAGTTGCCAGAAAGAAGCCTTTACTGCGTCAATGTCACAAAAAATTTGGTTTACAATATGCCTGAAAACACCTTGACACACCTCAGTTTCTGGCATACTGTAATCTGGAGTGACAAGACCAAAATTGAGCTTTATGGTCTCTACTATAAGCACTGTGTTTTGAGAGGGGTCAACAATGCCTACAGTGACAAGAATGCCATCCTCACTGTGACGCATGGTGGTGGCTCAATGATAATTTGTATTCTTCTGCACAAAAGATGCGCATGGGACGCTCTTGGACTTTCCAGCACGACAATGACCCTAAGCACAGGGCCAAGTTGATCCTCCAGTGGAAGTTGATCCTCCAAAAGTTTGAAGGTTTTGGAGTAGCCATAACAGTCTTGTTACCTTAATATTATTGAGCCACTCTGGGGAGATCTCAGATGTGTAGTTCATGCAAGACAACCAAAGACTTTGCATGTTCTGGAGGCATTTTCCCAAGATGAATGAGCAGCTATACCACCTGCAAGAATTTGGGGCCTCATAGACAACTATTACAAAAGACTGCAAGTTGTCATTGATGCTAAAGGGGGTAATACACAGGATTAAGAACTAGGAATATGCAGACTTTTGGAAAGGGGACATTTTGTTTGCAATGTTTTGTTTTATGGCTGTTCCATTCTGTTATGACCTACAGTTGAATATGAATCCCATTTTCCTGCTGCCCTATAGCAGAAATACTGCTAAAGGGCGACGGGTGCACAAAATCATATGTGTATATATACGTAATTTTGCATTTCCGGGTAGGGGTCGCGGCCTCTGCTGTCAATCACAGGATCCCGACCAGTGATTACTCGCCGACACCCGGTGATTGCCGAGCATTACTGACGGGGGGGAGAGAACTGTATGTAAACATTACAGTTCTCTCCCCTGTTGGCTCCTGCACACTGCTTTTGTATGGTTCTGCATAACAGAGCCATACAAAGCAGTGTGCTTACAGTTGAAAACACACAGCCTACAGTAAAACAGCACACAGTTAACCTTGATCACCCCACATGTTAACCCCTTTCCTGCCCAGTGCCATTAGTACAGTGTCAGTGTTTTTTATTAGCACTGATCACTGTATTGGTGTCACTGGGGATGTTATTGATGCCAAGTCAGTTCCCCCCATTGTCAAAATGCCTGCCTCTGTCCCACTATAAGTCGCTGATCGCCACCCTTACTAGTAAAAAAAAAAAAATAAAAAATCCCAGTATATATACTGCCATTTGTAAACGCTATAACTTTCACGTAAACCATTAAATTTACACGTATTGGGATTTTTTTTTTTTTTTTAGCAAAGATATGTAGCAGAATACATTTTGGCCTAAATTTATGATGAAGTTAGATTTTTTAAATTACTGGACATGTTTAATAGCAAAAAGTCAAATTTTGTCTTTTTTTTTTTTTTTTTTTTTTTTTTTTTTTTTATAGCAAAAAAAAAACCCACCAGACAGTCAAACACCACCCTGCGCTAAAGCTCTATTTGTGAGAAAAAAAGGACGTAAATTTAATTTGGGTGCAGCATTGCATGACCACGCAATTGTCAGTTAAAGTAACGCAGCGCCGTAATGCAAAAAAATGGCCCGGTCAGGAAGAGGGGTAAATCCTCTAGAGGGCAAGTGGTTAAAGAAACAAAATGCTGCAGAGAATGCTTTCTCTTTATGTTCAATTTTTTTTTATTGTCAAGCGAAAAAAACCCTGTGAAAAATTTACTGTTGTAGGTTAACAGGTGAATATGATAGTATTTTAGATACTGAGGAACTTGTAGTGATCCAAAAGCCATAATAAAAGAAAGCCAACGTACGCAGACAGGAGCCCGTGATACAGTTTAGATGCAGAATATTGTTAGTGAACACTTTTTTCTTTACAACAAAGAAATCTGTCACAGAGATAAATAAACCTTAATGTACTAAGAGTGAAGAAAAGTAGAAACAGAAAAGAAAAAAAAAGGAAAGACATCTTAAAGGACCATAAAGTCCCCCTCGTCACATGACCAGACTTATCTAGAATGGAGAGTGATACATTCACATATTGGGAATCCTGACCTTCTCAAACGGCTTCTCGATATCATTCACAGTACTAGCAATCTGTTCATGTACCATAATCCATGACATTTGTTGCTTCGCATCGGACACGGACACTTTGGGCTTCTTCCATGATCTGGCAATAGCAATTTTGGCTGCCAAAAGCATAAAAATAATTGCTGATTATTAGGAATGGTTGCAACAGGATCACCCAAGTAATGCAATTTGTGGAGACTGCTATACAGAAACCCCAGTGACCCTTTGCATCAAAGCAAAAATGCCATTCAAAATCCCCTAATCCTAGGGCCCTTCCACAAAATATGATAAATAGTACCTAAATAACCACATCCCCTAAAGCACAAAGGAGATAAATTAGTATATAATTTTGATAGGCGGTACAAATGCTTTCTCTTTTTAAATGCCCAATTTCTTCTTCCATTCTGTGCAAATTACATGGCTGTTAAAAACCAATGGTCACAAGGGGGTTTATTTACTAAAGCTGGAGAGTCCCAAATCAGACTCCCTTCTGCATAGAAACCAATCAGCTTCCAGGTTTCATTGCCAAAGCTTCATTGAACAAGCTGAGGTTAGAAGCTGATTGGTTTCTATGCAGAAGGGAGTCTGATTTTGGACTCTCCAGCTTTAGTAAATAAACCCCAAGGTGTCTGCCTAAGAAGGGCAAAGTTTTCAGACAGATCTGCTCACTGGCTGTTTCTTGTTCATTATGACTGATAGTCATCCACACACTCCCCAACTCCTCTCATTCAGCTGCGACCACATGACCAGTACCAAAAAAATGACAAGACAAAAAAAATTCCAGGATTCAAGGTGGAAGGTGGAGCTGCAATCAAAAGTTATTTTTTAATGTAGGGAAAGGTTAGAAAACAAAACCTTCCTTACAAAACAAAAACAAAATACCCCTTACTTTCTATCAATGAAGATGGCTGACAAGGGTTGTAACCTGTCTATCTCCTTCCTATAGAAGAAAAACAAAATCGGATCAAACAGGTTGATTAGAGGCTTATTTCTGAAGTGGTTCTAAAGACTATTGGCTTCTGCTGTTGTCAATCAAATCTTGTGAGGATGGAGCCGATATGAGTCATGCTGTTTGTGGCAGTAGACTCACAGAGCTCGGCTAGGGATTAGGCCCGCCCAAGTGCTCCCATAGTATGTGTCTTGCTATGTAGGCAGTGGGAAGGGAGGAGGAGCCGAGAGTGCAGCCAGGGGACAACAAAAGAGGAGGTTTGGGGCCGCTCTGTGCAAAACCATTGGTTCTAAAGGCTATTGGCTCCTGCTGTTGTCAATCAAATCTTGTGAGGATGGAGCTGATATGAGTCATGCCATGCTGTTGGTGTCAGTAGACTCACAGAGCTCGGCTAGGGATTAGGCCTGCCCAAGTGCTCCCATAGTATGTGGCTTGCTATGTAGGCAGTGGGAAGGGAGGAGGAGCTGAGCGTGCAGCCAGGGGACAACAAAAGGGGAGGTTTGGGCCGCTCTGTGCAAAACCATTGCACAGAGCAGATACAGTGCATCCAGAAAGTATTCACAGCACTTAACGTTTGCCACATTTTGTTATGTTACAGTCTTATTCCAAAATGAATTAAATTCATTTTATTTCTCAACATTCTACTAACAATATCCCATAATGACAACAGGAAAGAGGGTTTGTTCTGAAATCTTTGCAATTTATTAAAAATAGAAAATTTGCAGTACCTCTCAAGCTCCGTCAGGTTCTATGGGGAGCGTCGGTGCACAGCCATTTTCAGATCTCTCCAGAGATGTTTAATCAGGTTCAAGTCTGGGCTCTGGCTGGGGCCACACCAGGACATGCACAGAGTAGGCCGTAGCCACTCCTTTGTTATGTGGTGGACCGTGTGCTTAGGATTGTTCTGTTGATAGATGAACCGTCGCCCTAGTCTACGGTCCAGAGTGCTCTGGAACAGGTTATCATCAATGATGTCTCTGTACATTGCTGCATTCAACTTTCCTTTGATCCTATATGTAAAAAAATGCAGCGTTAAAATGATATAAAGTGACTGACGTGAGCGCTTGATTCTGCTGAAAGTGATATCATGAATATAAATATAAAGTGTACCGTCATATGTTGACGTATAAATAGGTGAATAAATATATAAGAAAAAAGTGACTTTCATGTATGATGAAATATTATGACGTATAATTAGCAACATCAAATATAGTCCAAAAGTAATCTGTGGAATCCTTGCTTGTGATATCCGTAATAGGAACCGGTAACATGATTGCACTCACCAGAAGCGCAATATAAAAGCACATGTATCTATATTATCCTCTGTGGTCATCTTGGTATGGGTAAGAATAGTGGAATCATCTGGCACACAATCGGTATACAAGGCAACTCCAGACATCTCTTACAGGACCCTCTCAGCATCCAGGAACAGCTCCATGATACTCCATCATCACCTGATAATACAGCTCAAAACAAGGATTCGCTACCTTTTTGGAGGCTCGTTATTAAGCCAGAAACAATAAGGTGCTTTCAGAAACAATGGATTGGCTTGTGTGTACTCTTTGAGCTTCACCTGACCCTGCTGTATATGGCTTTCAATCTGCTGCGTTACTCTGGAATCAATTGTCTCTCTTATCGTACAGACTTCCCCTTCTCATTATATTATTATTATTATTATTATACAGGATTTATATAGCGCCAACCGTTTGCTCAGTGCTTTACAATATAAAGGGAGACAATACAGCTCAATACAAGAGGGATAGGAGGGCTGTGCTCCTTGGAGCTTACAATCTAGGAGGGAGGGGCTAGTGCTACAAAAGGTAGTAAACTGTGGGGGATGGACTGGTATGAACAGTAGAAGATTCCATTATTAGCTGAGGGCAAGATAGGCTTCCCTGAAGAGAGAGGTTTTCAGAGATCACCTAAAAGTGAGCAGAGTAGGCAATCGTCTGATACATTGGGATGGAGAGTTCCAGAGGATGGGGGAAGCTCTAGAGAAGTCTTGGAGACAAGCATGGGAGGAGGAGACAAGGAAGCTAGAGAGCAGGAGGTCGTGCAAGGAGCGGAGAGTACAGTTTGGGTGATATTTGGAGACAAGATTGGTGATGTAATTTGGTGCAGAGTTATAAATGGCTTTATATGTTGTTAATGTTTTGAATTTTATCCGTTGGGCAATGGGAAGCCAGTGAAGGGATTGGCAGAGAGGGGTGGCTGATACAGGATGGTTAGTAAAGTGGATGAGTCTTGCAGCAGCATTCATGATAAACTGAAGAGGGGATAGACTGCGATGAGGTAGGCCAATGAGGAGGGAGTTACAATAGTCAAGGCGAGAGATAACCAGGGAGTGAATAAGTTGCTTAGTAGTTTCCAAGGTTAAGAACGGGTGTATCTTGGAGATGTTGCGGAGGTGAAGTTTACAAGATTTGGACAGTGATTGGATTTGGGGCTGAAAGGACAGATGGGAGTCTAGGATTACACCTAGTACCCTGGCATGAGGGGAGGAACTGATGGTTGTGTTATTGATCTTGATGGAGAAGTCAGGGGAGGGGGGCATGGGCTGGAGGGAATACTAAGAGCTCCATTTTGGAAAGATTGAGTTTGAGGAAGTGGAGTGACATCCATTAGTAGGTTAGTAATGCGAGAGGAGACCTGAAGGGGTGAGGTCAGGGGTAGAAAGATAGATTTGTGTGTCATCCGCATAGAGATGGTACTTAAACGCCATGGGAGTTTAATCAAGTGACCAAGGGAGGAGGTGTAGATGGAGAAGAGTAGGGGTCCAAGGACGGAACCTTGAGGGACCCCTACAGAGGGAGTGGAGAGGAGGAGCCAGAGTTATAGGTAATGCTGAAGGAGCGCTGCGATAGGTAGGAGAACCAGGAGAGAGCAGAGTCTTGGAGGCCAAGAGAGTGGAATTTTTTTGAGGAGGAGGGGATGGTCAACTGTATCAAAAGCCGCAGAGAGAGGTAAAGTAGTAAGAGTACAGAGTAGTGTCCATTGGTTTTAGCAGTTAGTAGATCATTCGGAAGTTTTAGTAGGGCAGTTTCAGTGGAGTGAGCGAAATCCAGACTGTAAAGGGTCAAGAAGGTTGTTGTCAGTGAGGTAGGAGCACAGGCGATTGTAGCCTAGGCGTTCTAAGAGTTTAGAGGTAAATGGGAGCAGGGAGATGGGTCTTAAGTTGTTCAGGTTGGTGGGGTCCAGGGAGGGCTTTTTAATTATGGAGTGATGTGTGCATGCTTTAGAGGGGAGGGGAAGGCACCATGGTCAGAAAACCAGCTGCTGTCTTTACTGGTGCCTTGAGGCAAACCATGAAGATCCACCAGAACAGCAATGTTCCCACACTTCTTGCTGCAGTCCTGTTCCTGATCCCTTCTGATGTGTTTGTCTGTGCTCATCTTTGTAATGGAGATGACAAGTTATATGTAGTCCAAATTGGAAGAGCAGTCTAGGGAAATGACAATGCTACTCCTCTCCTAGTCGAGACCTCATTAGCTGTAGAAGAGGCTTCTCAAGTCCAAGAACTGAGCTCCCCAGCCACAGAACAGGCCCTGCCAGTGAAAGAAGAGCCCGTCCCCGTGACAGAAGACCTGGAGGGAACTGTAAAAGCAGTGCATATTGCTGACTTTGAAACGGTTTGTTTCAGAAAGATCACTCGCTGAATCATGGGCTATGCATGTCTCCTTTCTCCATCCTCCCATCATCTCTTCCTTCTTATGGCACATTTAACATTTTGCATCTGCAACCTCCATATTGCTGAACTGCTACACACTAATACCCTACAGCTGTCTGTCTGCATGGCTGCTTTATAAAGATTTGGACTGGGGAGGGGGGATCTGAGTGATATTTGCTAATTCAATATCAGTATTGTAATATAATTCTACATGGTACAAGTGGTTTTCCATTTTTAGTAAGAAAGCAGACAGCCCCTATATCATTTCTGTAGCAGTATTGTATTGTGTTATGGGTATTCTAATATAATTCCTGGATCTATTTATTTCTGTAGGACACAGTGGATTAGATCAGCCTGGTAGGAAATCGGTGTGACTGGTCTTTAGAAACGCAGAGAGCATACCTTCCTCCTAATATTGTCACATTAAAGGACTCTATGAAGATGGTTGGGTCTATGCAGCTTACAAATCAATGGGGCATTTATTTTACACTTGGAGCTGACTCCCAAGGAATCTGTAGGGGCATGCTCTGGGTTATTAGAGAAAGGCTACTCGTCCTTTATATGGACTGATGACTACCATTTTTAAATCATGACTATTTGCCATATCCTACAATCAACACCTAACGGACTTCTATAAATTTACATGGACTGCTAGCCACCTTTGCACCTGCCACTCACACTCTTTGAACTGATACTTCACCACTACATCTATAACTGGATCGATTACAACTAAAAAACCTTCACAGTCATAAAGCAAGTTTCACAGTTCTAGAAGGGTGACTACATAAACACTTGATTTTCTTCACGGAAAGGTGGCCAGTTGGACTGACAGCCACCTGACATTCTAGTCCCTTTTCCCTTGGAACATAAGTCACTTCCTAAAACCAGTGACAAAATGGGTCAGTCTCTTCTAGGATCAAAGCCTAATAATGACAGTGTCCTGATAATGAATCAGTCTCACCTAGGATCAGAGTGTAACAATGACAGTGACATGATAATGGGTCAGTCCTTCCTAAAACCAGAGCGTAATTATTATTACAGGTCCTTTATATAGCGCCATCAATTTACGCAGCGCTTTTACATATATATTGTACATTCACATCAGTCCCTAACCCACAAGGGGTGTACAATCTGAGGTCCCTAACTTACATTCATACATACACATACTAGGTCCAATTTAGACAGAATCCAATGAACCTACCAGCATGTCTTCGAAGTGTGGGAGGAAACCGGAGTACCAAGAGTAAACCCACGCAGGCACAGGGAGAACTTGCAAACTCCAGGCTGGTGGTGCCATGGTTTGAATTTGAAGCAACGGCCCTAGTACTGCCAGGCAGAAGTGCTGACCATTTAGTCACTGTGCTGCCCATTACATGATCAGTTACATGATAATGGATTAGTTCCTCCTAGGACCAGAGTGTAATAATGACATGAGTGATCAGAGGTCGATCCCAGGACCAGACATTTACTTTAAATGACCAATCTTTCTAGGACAGTGTTAAATGAATAATATTATGTTAATCATATGCTGTTCCCAAATGAGACCAAATTATTATCAGTACACAGTTCAATGATATTTATAATAATATTTAGTGAAAATAAGCTGTTTGTTCAATAGTAAGTCCACCCAAAAAAGAAATTCTTATCTGGATGTTGATGGGTTGGTTTGTCCTCTGATGCTTCTAATACATACAGGGGAAATAATCCTTGCTTGACCAATGTCCTATTATGCTGCAGTCTCCATTATTCTTCCATTATTAGTATAAGGTAGAACAAAGATCATCCTACCCAAGGTCACCTTTCTACAGTGTACAAGTCATATAAGAAACCAATGTTTAATCTGCCATGTCAACTTAAAATACAGGTACAGTACTTTTATACTAATTGCCATGAAAAGGTTTTCACACCCCTTCTATTTAATAAACCCCAAGACAGGCTTCCGCTGCACAGACCCACTATACACTCCCTCGTTCTCTCTGCTGTGCCAGGCACTGTATATACCCGATATTCCCCCTGGTGCGGTGTGGAGGTGCAGCTGCAAACTGGAGAGAGAAATAGGAGATTCAGCTCTCCCATTCATCTCTATAGAACAGTAGAGAGAGCCAGGCAGTGTAAAGTGGGTCCACGTTGCAGCTGAGATTTGTCTTTGGGTGCAACAAAAATCAGGAGGCTCATGGAATTTCTACAGTTTTTTAGTGTAAAAGCACAACTGCACTTTAAATAACTGATATATGGTTTCTGGTTGGCTTTCTTCTTTAGAAGGGTATAAAATGTACACAAAGTCAATTGGCCAGTTAGTGCTTCAAATATATACTTCTATGTAAATCTACGCAGACATGCAATTGTCTATTATTTTCTAGTTAATAATTCAATTATCTGTCATTTTTATGAGACCAAGCTGGTAAACTGTGTCAGGCCATGTAATTTACTGGCATGTTCATGTAAACGTCAACAGGAATTTGGATGGATGACAAAACTTTTAGGCAGTAATAAAATATGCATTCTGACTGTGGTAATGACTGTAAATAAATAATGTAGTACGTATTTACTTGACTGAAGCACGGTGCAGCCTTATTACATAACCCTTTTTAGTATGCTAGTCTATTGTAGTACATTAGCTGTTCCCAGTGTTAATCCCTGTAGATAGCTAGTACCTTCTATTCCATAATAAAGTGGAAGAGAAGATGAACTATATCTATTCTTAAAAATGCCCACCCCTCCCCTTCCTACTACCTATCCTGTAATGTTATCTACATACTTACCTATTTTTGATCTGTTCTGTTAACTGATCTCACAGCTCCAACTCCCCTGTGTCAGTGAACAGCTGCTGCAGGGGAGAGGAGGGAGCACCAACAACGGCTGGGCTATGGGAACCTATAGGTGGCATCATGGCTACCGGAATTCAGAATGGCTATCAACACTTCCTTTCACAGAGCTGCAGGATTACATGACCAGATCAGTGTGCACAATAAATAGACAAGTATACAGGTTAGGCAAGATTAGGTGGAGAGGGAATATTTTATTAGATATATGTATGGGTTTTCTTACACTTTAAAGCACAATGTGACTCTCTAGGTATAAAGGAACATATCCCAGCATGCTTTTTTTCATCCCAGCTGTGGAGCCAGTAGCTGTATTTGCCCTGTCTAATACAAGGAACTCTAGCACACTAAAGCCAATATTATATTAGTGCTCCCATCACCTACAACTCGATCGCTATATAGGGCTAAACAGGATGGAGAAATACTTGTCTCCATTAGTTGCTCCCTTGCTGACTGGATTAGAGAGACACCATTCCCTCTCTGGTCACTTACATTCTGCAGCCTTTACCTAAGTGACTTCTCACCAGTGACAGGGTCTCTACAGTAACATGGCAGTAACTTACCTCACTGCTTTTTATGCATTAGCATCCTTGTTCCACAATCTGTGCAGTGTATCCCTTGTTCTACCCAATGTACTACAGTACTATAAGTATTACACACATTGTACTGCACTGTATTAGCTGTAGGGGATTTTATTGCACACTCTTATCAAACCCCCCAACTTGACCAAATGGAAAACAGTGACAATGTTTAGCTCATATTTTATAGCAGGGTTTTTCCACCTTGTTGGTCATGGCACCCTTTAAAAGTATGCAAAATCTTGCGTTACCCCATTGTAAAAGAGGGTCCCCCATCAGAAACCCCTCCTTTCACATCAGTGTCCCTCATTCACATCAGATTCTTTACCCTCTCCCCCTTACAGCCCTCAGTTCCTCTTATTTAAATAAGGTGCCTGGTCCCCGTCCCCCTTCACATCAGAATCACCAGTTGTCCATCTTTTAAATAAGTCTTCATTCCCCCACTTTCACATCAGAGTCCTTACAACCAGCCGGCCCATCTGCACCATGCATATCCCTGTGCAAAAATACAGGAAATAGACTCATCACCCCGATGAGTCCAGAAGGCAACCCAGTTGGGAAATGCTGGTCTACAGGCAGAGGTCACACCTTCACCATCCCCACTACATGGACCATATAGAATGCAGAATTTATGAAACAAAATGGATAGTTAAATCCACGTGTTCTTTTTTCACCATTACTCCTCCTTTTATATATTACTGTTTCAAAATAAATTCAATCAAATGGACAAAAGGCTTATAAAAAATAACATTATTACAGAGGCTTATACAAGAGACCCCAAGTAGGGACCTCTTGAGAAGAAAGTGGGGAGTGGGGGATTTGATTGCAAGAGATACAGTTTGTTCACATGAGGTACAAGTGGGCACATTTTGTGCACATTTTCATGTATTTTTATCCATGCATTAAGTGAGTTTTCATTGTCATCAATAAGCCTTATGATGCACATGGATAGTTACTGCCCTCTCTCTGGACAGTGCTGATTGGCCTTGTGCCACATGCACCCTCCTAAAGAGAAGTAAAAAACTCTCTAGCCATACACACTAAACTGAGCATGTGCAGAGTGACTCCTAGAGCTCTGTATTATCAGCAGATGGATTGAGGACAGTAGAAGAAAGGGAGGATCAGAAAAGATAGGATGAAAACAGCCTTTTTACACAATTTGGAGGATTAACCCCTTAGGTTCCACAGTGAGTATAACAAGCATGCATTACAGCATATACAGACTGATTTTACTGTTGTAGGTTTAGTAACACTTTAAGCTGAACTTTTTAAAAACATAGTAGCTGCCTAACTGTTTTGCCGATCCAAAGGCTTCAATACTTTCTTATACTTTCTCATCATGTATCTGAAACAAGTATTCAGATCAGGAGTTTTGACAATCCTTTGACTTCACTAGCTGTGTGCTTGTGCTAGGGTTGTATGTAAGTTGCATTAAGGAAACCCACATTGTCGGAAGTAGATGTCAGCAACAGTATCCTCTGTATTTCACTCAGTACAGGTTTCGTCAATCTGAAGATTGCTGAACTGAACGGAAAACACAATTTCTCTAATTAGTGAACTGC